ACATCCCCGATAACAACCATACTAATTTGGTCATATTAACATGTTATGCTGGAAAGTCAGTACTTAACAGTCAGTATTCTCTGTGTAGTAGTGAACTGAACTAGATTTTCTGCATTTATAGCTAATTGGACCATGGGTACATATATGCAAGAGCAGAACATTGTGATATGAAGATGTATTGTTCATAATATATACAGTATAGGTAGTCAATTTATAACCATTCATTTAGTAATCAAAGTTACAACAGCACTGAAAAAAATGACTTATAATCATTTTTCACATTTATAACGGTTGCAGCATCCCCATGGTCATGTGATCAAAATTCAGATGCTTGGCAACTGGCATGTATGAAATTGAAGTGTCCAGGGATCATGTGATCACTTTTTGCAACCTTCTGACAAGCAAAGTTAAAGAGGAAAGCCAGATTCACTTAACAATGAGGGCAAAAAAGATTGTAAAATGGGGCAAAATTCACTTAACAACTGTCTTACTTAGCAACCTAAATTTTGGGCTCAATTTTAGTTGTAAGTCAAGGACTACTTGTATAACTTTAGTTGTATAGCTCTACCTTGTTTTTCTGTACATTAAGGTCAAGCAAGTTGAAACTTTTAGCAGAATTAAAATGTATTTCATTATTCAACACAACAGGAGGACAAATATTTCTTACAAAAACTTACAGTTTTTGATTTGGTGAATTTGTCTTCACATTTAATTGCCTCCTCCGGAGACACTCTTCTTTTTGACAGGTCAATATAACCTAAAATAACAAGAAATATTTTTAAATATATTAAGTCAACTAACAGAAATATAAAGCCCTTCTTTCTCTCATAAAAAAACTATTAAGTGCAACAGGAAAGATCTGTTCTTCCAAATTACTGTATACTATCCCTTCTAGTAGGCCAGGGGTGTCAAACTCACTGCGTTGCGTGACATGTCGCAACGTATCATGACTTTTTCCCCCTTGCCGGAGCTGGGGTAGGTGCCACTTCCGCGTGACGCATCCGTCCCTCAGGCTGGCAGTTTGACACCCCTGTAGTAGGCTGTTCTACATTTCCTTACTGAATATTTTTGAAAACCATAAATATATGGATTGAAAAAAATAGCTGTATTGTTATGCAACTCACCTTTCTCCTTATCAACTCTTATGACAACAACACATTCATTTCTGCCAATTCGGATGAGTTTGTTTATAGAACGGATTCGTCTCCTGGACAGCTCACTGAGTAAGATCATGCCCTCAATGTTGTTATATTCCAAAAGACTAACATAGGCTCCCATTTCTGCAATGGACCTGACATTGACCATGACAACATCTTCTACTTCAGGAAATTTATGCTGGTAAAATCTACAGCTTAATCCGGGCATCCTGCAATAATAAGTCAGAAAGACATAAGTACAAATATATTTTATAATCAAAACAATTAGTAATAGGAAAGTATAACTGAAAATGTAAAGAATAATACCTAGAACTTCATAATGACTGGATAGCAGTTGTGAACAATGGTCAGGAAAACATTCTTTAATTTGTCACTAAATTCATTATTCATTAAAGAATAACTTTTAGCTATGAAATTCAAGATGTAAAACATTTTTGCAAAAAATATAGAATATTTTAAATTAGATTACATTTGATACACACTCTTAAGCCACCCATAAGCTCACTAAACAGCCTTACACAAATCACACTCCCAGTCTTATGTCTAGATCTGCATTAACATGCAGAAATCTAGGTGGCAGATAGATAAATGTGCATGCTGTGCCAGCACTGATTCCAACTGAGAGATACAAAAGCAAAGATTTTAAACTTGAAACATCTCACTTAAAGTCTGTAACTGTCTTCACAACTCCAGAAAATTCTGGAAGTCCCTCTTCAATTCCAAAACCAGAAAGTGGAGTGTGCTTCCTAGTTGTTAGCTGTCTACATAAACTCTGTGTTAAGCCAAAGGCTATGATAGAAGCTCTCAATCAGAACTTTAACAGGGTGGTTATAGCTGGTGGTAAGTGCAATCAGAAGGCCACTTGAAGAGACTAGAAGCATTTGAAATGTGGATTTACAGGCGGGCTGTTACGTATAAGCTTGGTTGTCAAGATCAGAAATGAGGAGGTGATAAGCCACCTGGCAAAGCCAGGGGAAATCATCAAAACAATTAAAAAACGAAAATTAGAATATTTCGGACATGTGATGCGACACCCAGAAAAATATGGCATAGTCCATTTAATCCTCCAGGGAAAGATTGAAGGCAAACGAGGTCCAGGCAGAAGAAGAACATCATGGCTTCAAAATCTAAGGGATTGGTTTGGACAAAACTCAGCAGCACTTTTTCGTGCGGCTGCTGATAAAAACAGGATCGCCAACATGATCGCCAACGTCCGATAACGGATATGGCACAAGAAGAAGTGTGTGTATTCTGTATCTGACAACAAGAGTAACTAAAGTCAACAAAAGCGGATGTGATTTGGAAACAAACACTTTTATGGACAGTAGATTGACAGCAGTAGCAGCAGTGTCCCTAGTTTTTTTAAAAAAATAAAAATCTCTTATCTGATCAGGCTGCTCAAGGAAAGGCGATTACGTTCTGCCAAACCATTTAGCCACTTTTATCCTAAACGGGAGGGGAAATAACAGAATAATAGAGTTGGAAGGGACCTTCAGAGAACTTGTATTTAGTCCAACCCCCTGCTCAGGCAGGAAACCCTATACCAGTGTTTCTCAACCTTGACAATTTTAAGGCATGTGGACTTCAACTCCCAGAATTCCACAGCCAGCAATGCTGGCTGTGGAATTCTGGGAGTTGAAGTCTACCTGCCTTAAAATTGTCAAGGTTGAGAAACACTGCCCTATACCATTTCAGACAAATGGTTGTCCAATCTCTTCTTAAAAACCTTCAGTGTTGGAGCATTCACAACTTCTGGAAATAAGTTGATCCACTGATTAATTGTTCTCGCTGTCAGGCAATTTCTCTTTACTTCTAGGTTGGTTAGTTAGTTAGTTTCCATCCATTGTTGTCCTGTGTCCTGCCTTCAGGTGCTGTGGAGAGGAGCTTGACTGCTTCTTTTTTGGGTGGCAGTCCCTCAAATATTAGAAGTTGCTATCAGCAGTAGACCTTCTTTTCATTAAATTAGACATACCCAATTCCAGCAACCGTTCTTTATATGTTTCAGCCTCCAGTCCCCTGACCATCTTTGGGGGGGGGGGGGGAACCCCTTAAGGCAGTGTTTCTCAACCTTGACAATTTTAAGGCATGTGGACTTCAACTCCCAGAATTCCACAGCCAGCATTGCTGGCTGTGGAATTCTGGGAGTTGAAGTCCACATGCCTTAAAATTGTCAAGGTTGAGAAACACTGCCTTAAGCGCTTGAGCCCGAGAAAAAAAGATTCCAGGACGTTGTTTCCCTGCCTCAAACGGAGGGGCCCAAACGTACCAGGCATGCCAGTTTGAGGACCGGCGCTTAGAGGGGTCCTTCTCCCGCTCTGCACCCGGGGCCGACATCGGCACCCGCTGCGGTTACATCTCCGGCGCTGACGAGCCTTTGCCGGCACCACCGCGCAGGCCCGCCCGCCGCCGGGTCGCAAGCTCGCGTTTGTGACCCAGCAGGGCGCGTGGAAAGGCGGCGTGGTGGGAGCCCTTTTGTGACATCTTTCGACGGGGGGGGGGGGTCCGAGGGCCAGGGGAGGGTCCGCGGCGGAAGCCCATCCCGCGGGTATCGCAGCAAGAGACCCTCTTACGGTCGCCAGGCCTCTCACGGGTAGCCCCAAGTGGCTTTTAGCGGTTACCCTGCGGGGAGTTTTCCACACGGCGACCCTTTCCGTCCGCAGCCCGGGTGGGGGAACCCACAAAGCCAATCCCTCCCGGCCCCCGCCCTTACCTGTCCGCTCTCCAAGCCCCGCTCGCAACGCCTCGGACCCGACTCTCGCTTCAGCGTGCCTCCACCCCCCCTCAAGCCTCGCACCGCGCAGCCGCCGTCCCGCCTCTTCCTGTTTGGGAAGCCCACAGGAAGCACTTTGGGAGACTGCCCCAGTCAAGCAGGCGCCCACAGAGATAGGAAGCAAAAGTAGAAGCGGGAGGGTTATGGGATATTCCGGGATGGCCTTTCGACTTCCGGGCTAGCTGGGTTTCCCCATGCTGGTCACTCTTTCTCAAGATCGGCCAAAATCAGCTAATCGCTGCCCGAAGATGATGACCCACCTTATACAGACCTTTGGGACTATAATATGAATTTCCACTTTTAAAAAAAAGCTTGCCGGCATTTTGGTATTAATCCACGCTGAGCAATTTTAATTCAAACGCTTCAAAAGTCAGACGGCAGCTGCCCCCCCCCAAATTCCAGACCCACAATTACTTTCAAGTCTGCCGCATGATGGGGAAAAGGGGGTCCTTTTCATAGCCACTCGGGGTTTTTCCACCAGATAAGATAAAGCGGGTAAGAAGGAGCGGCTCTAATCTTCCTCCATGCAGCCCGCAGTGGCCTTTCTGCAGCCTGACGTGCTTCAGAATCAAAGTCTTTTTGTTTCCCGCTTCCCCCCCCCTGAATTCCAACCACGCGTCACCGGCCCATTTATAATAATAATAATAAAGTTGGAAGGGAACTTGAAGGTCATCTAGTCCGACCCCCTGCTCAGGCAGGAAACCCTACACCATTTCAGACAAATGGCTGTCCAGTTTCTTCTTTAAAACTTCCAATGTTGGAGCATTCGCCGCTTCTGGAGGCAGGTTGTTCCACTGGTTAATTGTTCTCACTGTCAGGAAGTTTCTCCTTAGTTCTAGGTTGCTTCTCTCTTTGGTTAGTTTCCATCCGTTGCTTCTTGTCCTGCCTCCAGGCGCTTTGGAAAATATTATCCTTATTATTAAAATATTTCCTTGTTATCGCCTGTCTTTAACTTCTTTCTTCCCTTTCTAGCTCTACGTTTCTGACGGGCACCGTCGCGCGAACGGCGCTGCGTCGCGGCGAGCGCCAGGGACGCGAGGAAAGGGGCGGGGCCTAACCGCGGGGAACCGAACTGGAGGGCTTGGTGCCCTTGGTAACCAGAGGGAGTCACGTGATCGGGCTGGCGTTTCCAAGGGAGGAAGTCGGTTCGGTGGGCTCGGTCGGTCGATCGATCTTGGCAGGATGTCGGGCAAGGACAGGATCGAAGTCTTCCCTTCGCGGATGTGAGTTGCCCTCCTCTTCTGCCCACTCACCCGCCCTGGAGGAGGATTGATGGGGGGGGGGTCGCAGTGCAGCGGACTTTTATTTTTAATTCCTGAGCTCAGCCAAGCCCGGGTTCATGAATTCCTCCTTGAACCCACTTTCTCCTGGTGGGGCTGGCTCTGTTTTCTGCCTGCCAGTTGGGGAAGGGGATTTGCAGGAGGAGGTGGCTGGGTTCGCTGTGCTTTGGTTACAAAAACCAACCGGCTGGCAGTCCGTTTGGACTATTTAAGGCTGAATTAAATAAAGTGGGTTTGGGGTGAAGAAGAAGACGTGGAATATACATTGTTTCCTGCATCAGAACTCCAGCCTAGCTATTGGGTAGCTGTGGGGAGATCTTTCAGCCTCTGCAGAAGAGGGTAAATAAGTGATCTTTGGAGAGTCCTTGGAGGAATATTTTTTTTCTCAGTTCCGAGCAAGCAGAATAAACAGGCTAAAGAAAATGAAGAAGTGAAATACATGCACTGTGCTGTCATAAGAATAAATGCTTTGTCATATAGTCGTGCAGTTGACTTTGTATGGAACAGGATTGTCATTGAATGTGAACGTTTCATGCGTGGCAAGGGCATTGTTGAAGGGACTGAATTCGGCATTACTTCTTTTCTAATGTGTGGCATATAGGAATAAAGAATGGCCTTGCCAGAAAAAGGTTAGGATGGGAGAGAAAATTTCAATAGTAGTACTCTAAAATCTGTTCATTATAATAGGCAAGATGATAGTAACTCTAAAGTTAAAAAATCCCTAATGCTACATAGTTGTGTCTGCCTTTTCATCATCATTTCAAGGCGATGGTTAACCCAGTATATTTAAAAATAAAGTTCACAAATTATGTTTACAGATTGCATTTCTTCTGTTTCTAATGCATACAAAAAAGATTTGGTTCCATGTAGTCCAATTCTATTGTGTTTTAGAAATCAATTCCACTAAACGTATTGATGTATGTGCCCAAATTACAGTAGGTGAACACTGAGGCCTTGCAATATGATCTTTTGTATATGTTGGTATGTATAATCTTATTGATTTTAATGGGTTCAGTTATGATTAACTTTAAATACAGTGGTTGGATACCAACATCAAACTTTCCTAAACAATAAATGTCCTTTAATAATCATATTGGAATTGCTAACCCTGATCAGAGTTGCTTCCGTTCTTAACTGCTTTTCAAGGGTGTTTATATACTCAGTATTCCACCAAATTAGATGACCCAGAGTCAGATATTTAGGTGATATTTAAATATTTTTATTGGTTATAATCTTGTTAGTGTGCCTGTAGTAGGATCATATCTATTTCTTAATGTAACTTTGATCTTTCAAGATTTTTAAGTAATATAAGCTGTGTTAAGTATTGTTTAGTAAACTTTTAAGTAATAATTTTATCATTATTTAGAGAAAGAAGTATTGCATATATGTTAGTTTTCTCCTTTAAAAAAATAATGTCCAGTAGAAAATGTTACTATTATTTCCTTCTCCCCTGCCCAACTCCATAATTGAGAGAGATATGAATTATAAAAACATATTTTGCTTTTTATTTCTTGTGAAGAAGACAGTGAATATATATGATCCGTTCTGAGTCATGTCTATAAGTAAATATTCCTATTGGCATACATCTTACATAGATCAGCCACACAGTACATTTATAGAACAGACTAGTGGATGATATTGTTGACAGCAAACAGAATGATGTTGAAATGCACACACAAAATCTTGTTCTAGCTAGTAAGTGAATTAGTCTGCTAAGTAGGCAGTGGCAAAAACTAGCTTGGACAAGAATATGATATCTTTATTTTGCCTTCCTTTAAAAAGTTATACTTCTGTTCTTGAACTTGCTTTCAATTTATGCCCTGCCTGTGATATATGTTAACATTCTTAAAAGAACTACATTAAATCTTCTTGGACAGTACTTATGCTTACCTAATGCTAGTTTATTGTTAGGGTACTAATTATTTTTCCTTCATTCAAACAAATCAGTAGATTTAAGTGCCGACAATTGGTAAACTAGTGACAGTTTGAATTCATTGAATTTGAAGCATGTGGAAAACCAGTAATGTCTGGACCTCTGGGCGATTGGGGAAGTGTGGAGGCAGAGACACTGCATGTGACTTATTATATACTAATTTCCAAGAACAAATTCCACTCTGTATTATATTGCCATTCTTAGTTTCTTGAATCATAAATGATTTATCTCATATTTGTCTTACTTTGAATGATGGTAAAGAAATAATGCCAAACACATCTGTACTGAGAAATTTATTCACATGATGGAAAGGTTCTATTCTGAAAATTCTCCTGTCAGCACTTCTAAATTTTTTTAAGTCTCCTTAGAAAATAATTTTCCATCATTGCTAATTTGGAATTAATTCCCTTGTAAATCTTTTGGGGATTGTAGATTAAGACTGCAAATCCATACTTGCTTACCCAGAATACTTAATAGCACATTTGTTTCAAGCAAAGGATACTGCCCTCAAACCTGTAGTTCTAAATACAGCCTCAATTTCTATGTGCTAGAGAAGATTGTGGTTTATTTTCAGAAACATCGATCTCAAGTGACAATAAAAAGTCTCACTTTTTCTGATTTTTATAGGGCTCAAACTATTATGAAAGCACGTTTAAAAGGAGCCCAGACTGGACGCAACCTCTTGAAAAAAAAATCGGATGCATTGACTTTACGATTCCGGCAGATTTTGAAGAAAATTATTGAGGTAAGGAGTTTTGTTTTGCTTTATTCTTAAACTTAATATTATTAAAACACCCTTCAAATATGGTCATAGAATAAACAATTTTTGTTCTTATTTTTATCGTTGTCTATACTTTTTATGCTGGGTTCACAAGCTCTCCTTTTCTGTTGTATTTGCAGACTAAGATGTTGATGGGTGAAGTGATGAGAGAAGCTGCTTTTTCCCTTGCTGAAGCAAAGTTCACAGCTGGAGATTTTAGGTGAAGCTCATAAGCTTGGGTGAAGGAAGTCCATGTGAAATGCCAGCCATGTCTTGAAAAATGAGTCAGTGAACAGTTTGGCATTTATAAATGCAATTATGAGGGAGATGAACATTCTGTAGCAGAAAGAAATAAGCACACTTGTAAGACGATTTATTTCAGAATAACATTTAAAAATAAGCAGGGAAAAAGAAAAACAGTGAGGGATTTAAATTTGTGGACAGTATTGACTAGCAGAATAGGATATTGAACTTTTTGTGGCTATATTCCAACAACAAGGTGGTCAACATTTTACTCCTGGGACTGCAGAGCTTGCCTGATCAAGATGCAAGATTTCCTACATGCAGCATGGTTATGTATTCAAATGTTCATACACAAATGCTGCTTAAGCCTATGTATACCATGTTTTCTCACCTTATTCCCTGCTTCCACTGTACTACTGCAGATTGCCTGTTAATAGCAGAAAATAATTGATGGCAAGGATCAGTTATTTGATTCCTGGCTATTAATGATGATTGGAAATAAGTGTTCTGTTTCCTGTTCAGCGGTAGAAAAATTAGCAGAACTTCCATGGCTCTGGGACCTTATTTCTTTATGTTGTACATCCATGCTTTAAAACTTATACATTGTGCACACATGATGAACTGACAATAATTATGGTTTGCTGTGGTCGCCATCTTGAAAATTAAGTTCACCTATATTACAATGAAAAGAAAATCATAGAAAACTACTTTAGAAATAGAAGTGTGTTAATTTTACAAGTTAGATCATTCTGTCATTTTTGTTATGAAAAATGTCTGTGGAGATTCTCAGTCATCCAGGTCATGATTGTCCAAAAGGTGCTTTTTTTCATGAGGCAACTGGACTTTCTTGTTTTTCTTTGAAGACATTTCGCTTCTCATCCAAGAAGCTTCTTCAGCTCTGACTGGATGGTGGGGGAATGGCAGGATTTATATTCCTTGCAGACAGCTGGTCATTTGCATTCTTTTAGCGAGTCATTGAAGCCCCTGGAGGCTTATCTATGTCACCAGGTAGTGCAAATGGGTCTGGAGCCTTGTTGGAACTGTTGAAAGGACTGTATAGTAGATTGGAAGGGCTTCAACAACTCGCTAAAAGAATGCAAATGACCAGCTGTCTGCAAGGAGTATAAATCCTGCCATTCCCCACCATCCAGTCAGAGCTGAAGAAGCTCCTTGGATGAGGAGTGAAACGTCTTCAAAGAAAAACAAGAAAGTCTAGTGGCTTGGTGAAAAAAGCACCTTTGGGTTTGTTATGAAAAATGCCACCAAATCCTTAAACATTTCTGTAGTTGTCACCATCAATTTGGTTTTTAATAGCTGAAAAAGCTACACTTGCAATTGTTGATCTTTTCTAGATTTTATGTGAATTAGTCTCATCAATGAGAATAATCACCAAGTAATAAGACATGAATTTGTGTCAGATATGCTAGCATTAAGTTCTCCATTTTTAAAGTTCTACATGTTGGTGGTTTTGTTAATTAAACCTGATATAATACGGTGAAAACCTTTTAGCAAATAATTTTCATGCACCTTTAGGGAAATGGTTGTATAGCTATGCAAATTAAAATTTCTTTTTTTTCTGCAGTACTACTGTGATTCAGAATGTGAACAAAGCTCAAGTCAAGATCAGAGCTAAAAAAGACAACGTAGCAGGTGAGTCATATAGAAGACCGTTTCTCAACCTTAGTGGCTTAAAAATTTGTGGACTTCAAGTCCCAGAATTCTCCAGTCGGGACTGGAGTTGAAATCCACACATTTTCAAAGTGCTGAGATTAAGAAACAGTGTCCTAGATCAAGATGCCCAATTATTTTAAGCACAATTAACAGTGCTGCTTGGAATTCTGGGAGTTATGTTAAACTTGCTGAGGTTGAAAAACACTGGTGAAATGCTCACCGCAGGCCATCACTGGGCCAAGCAATTGTATATCCTTTAGAATTTAGTTTGGACTCATGAGAGAGAAATGGATGACTGGAATGGATGTTGGGAAATGTGTAATTTTCACAACCTGTTGTATGTTTTTTTACAGGTGTGACACTGCCAGTTTTTGAACATTACCAAGAAGGAGGAGATAGTAAGTTTGTACGACATAACTTACTAAATAACAATTATCTGAGTTTTACAAATTTCCTTGTGAGGAAAAAAATTTATTTAGATTTTACATAACCAAGGAGATTTTAGGTGCTGGAGGAAGGTAAACAACTGAAAGGAAATAAGAGATATTTGAAACTTTCTGATCATCTCTTGAAGCATCTGATACCTTTTAGATATAATCCTGAGTGTTGGTAATTTCCCAGAAAAGTCATTATCAAACTTTATTGGATTATATTTCACTTATTTACTTTTATTACCATAGCTTTTATGCCACTTGCTTACCAAATTCTAAATGGTTTACTAAATTTATTCTTATATTATTGCTAGCAAGGAAGATGGGTCAGTTGGCACTCCCCCCCCATATAATTAATCTCTCTAATGTCTTCTTTTGGCTTAAACGTTTATTGAAACTTCAATAAATACCTGATCATCTAAATGTATTATTTAGGTTATGAGTTGACTGGTTTAGCCAGAGGTGGTGAACAGCTGGCCAAGCTGAAAAGGAACTATGCCAAAGCAGTAGAACTCCTTGTAGAACTAGCTTCTCTTCAGGTAAGTGGGGGACGGAATGCTGTCAAAAAGACATTTGAAATCATCACTTGGTGGATGATCACTCAAGATTTAAGATTTAAGATTTAAGATTTATTTCATTTATACCCTGCCCTTCTCCCGGAGGACTCAGGGCGGCTTACAGCCAGTTAAAACAATTATACAAAATACAAATCTAAGATAAATTAAAAATAAATATTCGAATCGGCCGCACTACTAAAATTCAATTAAAACCAATTTAAAATTACCCCTAGGCCAGTCCTGCCTGCTGAAACAGCCAGGTCTTGAGGGCGCGGCGGAAGGAGGGGAG